CAGTGACTGTAAATTTTTAGGTTCACAGTTCAATTAATACAGTTGTACATTTTTGAATGCAGTATAAACCCTGTAACATAAAATTGAATGGGTTTTTACCTTTTAAAGAAGATCTCCATTTCATTTTAAAATATGCTGTTTTCTACATTATTAATATTTTTTTTTCAGAAGAAGCATATCATTATAGCATTAATATGTTCAATAACAGTTTCCAGAGCAAATATACAGCTCTTTCGAAAGTGGCTATAAAATTTTTAGGTTTGCTGTTGAATTAATACTGTTATACAGTATTGAATTCAGTATAAGCCCTGTTGATTATTTTTTTAACTACTTAAAAATGGAAACATTGGTAGCCCACATAAAATATTCAGTTGCTAGGATTTGGACTACAAACTATAGCTTGCCAATCCCTGCCAAGACATTTTGAAGTACCAAGTTCTTTACTGGCTGTCATCTGCTTTCCTAGCCTGCTCCACCTTGTGTTTTTGACCCAACCTATTCTAGTATGACTGAAAAGCTTCCTCCTGGAAGTCTGCTCAGCATTCTAAGTAAACTGCATGTCCTTATGTAACATTTTATGACAGTGGATTGTACTGCTTACTTGATACTACTTTTAACTTTCATTTCTAGCCCTTTCCAGACTATAATACAGATAAGTGCTTGAGTACTAAGGTTATATTTTGTACCTAATATATTTGTGTTTACAAATAGGTTAATTGAGCCGGGCGTGGTGTGGTGCATGCCTTTAATCCCAGCACTCAGGAGGCAGAGGCAGGTGGATCTCTGAGTTCAAGGCCAGCCTTGTCTACGTAGTGAGTTCCAGGCCAGCTGGGGCTACAGGGAGACCCGGTTTCAAAAAGACCAAAAAAAAAAAAAAAAAAACAAATAGGTTAATTGAGCATATGGATTATACACTAGGTCATTTTCTTAATTCCTGAGGTGACTGAGGATTATGCTTCATTCTGTCGAGAGTTCTGACAAGAAAGTCTCTTGTTGAAAGAAGAGACTAAATATGCTGCGTATTTTGTAAGAGGAACCACTGTACAATAAAACAGGCATAATAGGCACCAGGCTATTTAGAATAAACATGTTATTTGAATATAGTGTTACCAGGAGGGCTAAGGCCAAGGCTCATGATGGTTGGCCTCTGCCTTTGGTGTTCCTCTGTCTGTTGTCCTGCAGCACCTGAGTTGCTGCTCACTTAAACCCTTGCTACAGGAATCAAAGTCTGCGTTAGCCATTAAGAAAGTACAGCTAGCTAGACTTTATTTAGATCATACTGAATCATACTGAATTGAGGTAAGTGATAAAAAGAAAAGCATTAGAATTTGTAGAATATTTTTAACCTGCTGTGTTTAATAAGAAACCGCTTACTAAATCCCTGAAAGAATATGTAAGAAACCAGTAAACTTCAGGGAATCGTGAGGGAACTGTGATGATAATGATGGCAGGGGTCACTGTAATAGCCAAATATTTTACTATAAATGTTTTTATACTATTTGACTTTTGTAACTATGACACCTCGTCAAAAATTAGATCAGAATTTTTATAAAATACATAGTTGATTTGAAGGGGGAAAAGTCTGGAAAATAGTTTATTTTCTTAGCTTATTATGTTAGTCCTGTACCTTGGAAGAGTAGCCAACACTTCCCGAGGTGGCAGCTTCATTTTAAGAACAGACACTATTAAAAGAATTTTTCAGGCACTGTCTTTATAAACATAAATACATAAAAGTTAGCATTTGGTGCAGTATTTTTTAGATATTTTTATTGATTCTTTGAGAATTTCATAAAATATATTTTGATGATATTCAGAACTCCTCCCACATCTCTCAGATCTACCCCGCCTCCTTACACCCTCACCCTACTTCCTGTCCTCTGATATTTTTTTCTTAAGGCTTATTAAGGCTTAGTTTGTGTTTCCCAAATACTTTTAGCTCCAGACCCCCGGAGTGTGGTCAACCTAACCAGCATCATACCCATTATGAAAACTGACTTTCCCTCTCCCAGTAGCTATCAGTTGCCAATAGTTCCTCAGCCAGGCATGGGGCTTTGTACTTACCACCCCACTTCCATGCTGAGATTTTTGTCTGGCTTAGCCTTGCCAGGTCTTGTCCATGCTGTCACAAACATTGTGGACTCATATGTGCAACTATGCTGTTGTGCCTGGGGAAACAGTTTCCTTGAATTCATCCATCACTTCTGGCTGTTAAAATCTTTTTGTCCACTCTTCCAATAACGATTCCTGAGCCTTGGGAGGAGAGATGTTTTTGTTTGTTTGTGATATAGTTGTCCCATTCAGGGCTAAGTATTCTTCAGTTTCTTTTTCTCTGTACATTGACCAGTTGTAGGTCTCTGTGTTAATCATGAGAATTGAGAGATGCACTAATCTATGGGTATATTGACAAGTCATTAGGAGTTGGTTTAATACTAGTAGGTTCTCTCCCCTGTGGCCTATGACCTGTCTAGCCACAGGTTCTTGGCTCTGATAACAGTTCCAGGTATGGGCTCCATCTTGTGAAGAGGACACAAGACAGACATTCAGAAAGTGGTCTGTTACTACTGTAACATTCCTGTTATTATTGTGCTAGTGGGCATATCTTGCCATGCTAGTCATTATTGTAACCTGTAGGGTTCATGACTGGGTAAGGTTGATGATTACTTTTCTAGTAGCATACATAGCACTTTCCAGCGCTATGAAAGCTAGCCAGTAGAGATGAAGCATTGAAATCGGTACCAGCTTGATTTCTTCATGTTTGTTTGAAGTGTTCTACAATTCATGCATGTTGTGTGTTCAGCAGTATGGCCTTACCATCAAGTTCTAGAGGGTAGCCAGTAGCAGTGGCAATGGCCACTATTGTTTGAGGGTTTGTGGGAACCCTCTGGTCAACAACTCCAAAAGAGTGAGCCCCTCCTGGCATTGGGCTTTTTATTTGTTAGCCTGTGTTGACCGGTAGGGGCATTGTCCCCTAGTTATAGGGTAATTCTATTTAAACTCATATATGTGTATATTTTAAGAAGCTTCTACAGTAGCAGGTTTCCATATGACTTTTTCAGAAGATCATTAAGTGTTAGTTATCCCTCCCCATACTCCCTCCTTTACCCTGCCCTCCCATTCCCCACTCCATTTATCCTTCCTCTTCTATTATTCCTCTTTCCCCCTTTTGTGGTGCAGTTTTATTGTTCATATAGTTTAAGGCTTACTTAACTGTGTGAGGGCAAGAATATGTTACTATTATTCGTAACTCATTCTAGCATTTTGGCTTAATATTAAAGCCTGAGCATACTTTCCATATTGTATTACTTAGGATTCTCTAGAGGAACAGAGCAGATAGAATGAATATATATAT